ATAATAAAAATAAAGTGAAAAATCGGTCACTTTAACTAAAACTTCGACAATTTTGTATGAGAGGTACCCGTAAACCGATTCTTATTGGCTTTAAACTTTCTGAGGTTTCATTTTTTGGAGAAAAAATAAGATTCTGAAAGTTTCATCATGATCGCATTTGCAGAAGTTTGGTTTTTGGCCCTCAATTTTTTCCAAGAAAATGTCGGCCGAAATTGAGGACAAAAAATCAAACTTCTGCAAATGCGATCAACATGAAACTTTCAGAATCTTATTTTTTCTCCAAAAAATGAAACCTCAGAAAGTTTGATGCCAATCAGAATCGAATACAAAATTGTTCAAAAATCGGTAATTTTAGTCAAAATTTCAAAAAAATTGTATGGGAGGTACCCCAGGTTTCAAAATTTCAGAATCTTATTTTTCTCCCAAAAAATGAATTCCCAGAAAGTTTGAAGCCAATCGGAGTCGATTTACAGGTACCTATTGGGTCAATTCGAAAGTTTCCCCCGCTGACATTTAAATGTCGCCACTTGTAACTGAGCGTAGCTTGACAAGTGAATCCAATTGCATTTTGTAGATGTGACATTTAGCAATCTAACTCAGAGCAGAAAGATTCATTTTTCGTTCTGCGTCATTGTTTTTGAATCGATTGAAAATGGATCGTGATAAGGTGTTTTTTCGAGGGGCCCTTCTTTTCTTATTTGATTCGAAGAAAACTGCCGCTGAAGCTCATCGAATGCTGTCAGATACTTATGGCGAGCAAGCTCCATCGGAACGAAGCTGCAGAGAATGGTTTTATCGATTCAAAAGTGGTGATTTTGACTTGAAAGACAAAGAACGTTCAGGTCGGCCAGAAGCGATTGAAGATGTCGATTTGCAAGCATTATTGGATGAAGACCCAACCCAAACGCAAAAAGAACTTGCATTGCAGTTAAACGTCGGCCAAACAACCATTTTCAGACATTTGCACGCCATGGGAAAGATTCGGAAGCTGGGAAAATGGGTTCCACATCAACTGTCTGAAGAGCAACTTCAAGCACGAATCGCAATATGCACAAAACATCTTGCAGAGCACAAAAGAAACAGTTTTTTGTATCGGATTGTTACCGGCGATGAAAAGTGGGTTTATTACGAAAAGCTCAAGCGTAAAGCAGCGTATGTTGATCCCGGCCAACCGGCGCCATCCCAGCCAAAACGAGATATTCATTGCGATAAGGTTATGCTGTGCATCTGGTGGGATATGAAAGGATTCGTGTATTATGAGCTGCTAAAACCAGATCAAACGATTTATAAGGAACGCTATCGACGCCAATTGAATGATTTCGCTCATGCATTGGATGAAAAACGGCCATTAATAGCTCGAAAACACCACAATGTTTTGTTCCACGATGAAAACGCTAAGCCACATCGTGCAACAATCGTTAAAAATAAGGTAGAGCAGCTCGGTTGGGATCGGCTTGATCAGCCCGCGTACTCTCCAGACCTTGCTCCTTGCGACTACTATCTATTTCGATCGATGCAGATTGCTCTGTCTGAAGTACGCTTTCAAAATGAGGAAGAAGTGCGAAAATGGGTTGATGACTACATAACCTAAAAAGACGAGGACTTCTTCAAGCGAGGAATCAACAAGCTGCCTGAAAGATGGCTAGAAGTCATAGCTAACGATGGCGAATACATTGGTTAATGTACATTTTCAATTTATTTTGCAATAAATGTATTTTTAGACAAAAAAAACGGCGGAAACTTTCGAATTGACCCAATACCATACAAAAGTGTCAATTTTTTGAGGTTTTTCTTAGGGCAAGTACCCTAAGATCAAATCGAAAGTGGTTCATCTTCGAACTTAAACTAAGTTTATTGGATACAAAACTATTTGGGACTTTCAGATTTGGATTATCTCAATTATTTTTTGAGTTATCGTGTTAACAAACACCAACGACAACGACAACGGCATACATGCGCGAGGGGGGAGGGGGGTGGGGGAAAATTTTTCCCCAGAGGAAAAATATAAACCCGATTTGCGGGCTAGGGAGTGGCTAAACCCCCCGGACCAGTTTGTATCTCAATGTATTTTGACGAGATCTATCGATTGGAGCTTCCCCCGATGTCGACTGACCCATTTCCTGACTCCCCACAGGGTTATTATCGATGATGCTTCCCTTACATATACATTACTCCAAAAAATGGTCTGGGGAGGGTCAGGGGGCAATATGGGTTGGTCCAATCGATAGATCTTGTCAAAGTACTCTGACAAAACCCCCCCATTTGGGGGGGTAAACCCACTCCCAAACCCGAAAATCGCATTCTAAAATATACCATGAATCTTTGAATCTTTGAAATCCGTTTTTTGGCCTTGGAGGTGGATTTTACCCCCCTAATGGGGGGGTATTTGTTAGAAAAGTTGGGGGTGATCTATCGATTGGAGCTACTTCCGATGCCCTCTGACCCTTCCTTGACCGATTTCCTGGGGGGGGGGCAAATTTTTTGATTTGCAGTTCCTTAAAAAATGGTCTGAGGAGGGTCAGAGGGCATCGGAAGTAACTTCAATCGATAGATCTTGTCAAAGTACTCTGACAAAACCCCCCCATTTGGGGGGTAAAACCCATCCCTAAGCCGGAAAATCGTATTTTAAAATATACCATGAATCTTTGAATCATTGAAAAGCGTTTTTTGGCCTTGGAGGTGGGTTTTACCCCCCCTAATGGGAGGTATTTGTTAGGGTACTTTGATGAGATCTATCGATTAAACCCACCCATTTTGCCTTCTGACCTTCCACTGACCCTCTTTCGGGGACCTGCAAATCGAAAATATTATCTCCCTCAGTAAATTGGTCAGGGAAGGGTCGGCGGGCAACATTGGTGGGTCTAATCGGTAAATATTGCCAAAGTAGTCTAACAAATACCCCCCATTTGGGGGGTCAAACTCATCCCCAAATTCAAAAAATGGATTTCAATGATTCAACGGTTCACGGTATATTTTAAAATGCGATTTTTGGGCTTGGGAGTGGGTTTTACCCCCCATATGGGGGGTATTTGTTAGACTACTTTGACAATATTTATCGATTGGGACTATCCGTTTACCCAAAAAATTCCATCTGGTGTTTGCTCGAGTACAAAATATTGTAAAAATAATCTATTTTTGCACTTTTTCAACCATAATTCTCAGGTTATTAATTTTTTTGGGTACTGTCTTCGGCAAAATTGTGGCCGTTGTAAAAACAAAGAACTCTCCTGAACACTTAACCCAACAAAATCACATCCAATGTGTTTTGAGTTAAGATTTTTGAAAGTGAAATTTCGAGCCAAATAAGTGGTCAGAACATGCTTATTTTGGATTTATATGTTCAGAAAGGTTGTCTATTTTTACACTGGCTACTTTATTGCCGAAGACCGTGTCCAAAAATATTGAATAAATTTCGAATTTTAGTCATAAATATGGAAAAAAGTGAGAAAAAAACGGTTTAAGTACTCTTAAGTACTCTTAAGTACTTCTAAGTACCCTTAATGTACATCATAATATAGTTAGGATTAAAAAAAACAAAGATTTGCGCAATCTGGAAGAAATTATTTTTTCTCCCGGGAAGAAATTCAAACAACATCCCAGGAAATTAATCAGGGAAGGGTCGGAGGGCAATATGGGTGGGTCCAATCGATAGATCTCGTCAAAGTACCCTAACAAACACCCTTCCAACAGGGCGTGAAATCCATTCCTAAGCTTGAAAATTGGATCAATATGATTCTTCCCATTGAATTCACGCACACTCAATATTATAGCGACATCTATTATTAAAATAGCTTGTAGTAAACGCATTCATAGCATTTCACTGTAGTTGCGATGTTACCTATTAAATTCCCCTGTGGTATGTAGTTAACAAGTGTCAAACATGAATGTGTCAGTACTACAAGGGAACTTAATAGGAAACATCGCAACTACAGGGAAATGCTATAAATGCATTTACTACAAGCTATTTTAATAATAGATGTCGCTATAATATTGAGTGTGCGGTTTATTTTAAAATGCGATTTCCGGGCTTGGGTTTACCCCCCCAAATAGGGGGGGGTATTGTCAGAGTACTTTGACAAGATCTATCGATTGGACCAACCCATATTGCCCCCTGACCCTCCCCAGACCATTTTTGGAGTAATGTATATGTAAGGGAAGCATCATCGATAATAATGAAAAATTCAGTAAAAAGCCAGTTTTTTCGCAATATCTCGGAAACGGCTGGATTTAGGCCCCAAATCTCGGCCTACGGCTACCATCCCCATGAAATTTTCCGCCCGATCGAATGGGACTTCTCATAATTTTCCCCGATTTTCCATTTTCCTTTTATAGCGATAAGTTCATTTTCGGAAAATTTTCCAGGATTTGCAATTTTCCGGGAAATTTTCTTGAATTCGTTTTCAGCATACGATCGTACATTCATAAAATGAAAATGGTTGGAAAATCTTGGAAAACTCGGGAAATATGGAAGATTTTGTAAAAATAAAATGTACTGAAAATGACCCTAAATTTATATATGAGGCCATATTTTGGCTCCAGTGACTTTTCCGGGAAATCTGATCAGATAGAAAACTTCCTTGGGACTTCCTCTTTCCATATGAGTAAACAAAAATTTGCTTCCGACACACGAATTTTTTTTACGAATTTTATTAGTCTACTGAAAAAATCAGTAGAGTTGGCAGCCTTATGTACGGAAAAGTAAAAAAAGTTCTATAAAATTTGCTTTTTTATGTGCGCGATTTGCGCAACTGATAAGAGATAAGGAATAGATGTCTTTAGCAATGTTATAGAAGACCTCGAGTACTACAACTTTGCCGTGAAAAACCGCGGAGGCTAGACGGGATGCCAACATACTTCCTTTTAACGCAGATAGAATCAACAGAAAACATACTTTCCTTTTCAAAAATATGAATCGACAAAAAAACATACATTCTTTTACGTCTCACGAATAGAATTCAAGTACTGACACTTTGGATAAAAAATAATTAATAGGTACTTACCAACAACTTCTAAAGGGGCGTCGGCAATTTCCGTGTGAAACGAAGGTGCGTCGGCAGACACCTCACAGCTAAATTTTCCCGATATGCTTGGCTCAACTGATCTCAATAAAACATGACTAGCATTGGATTGTAAGCGCTGTAGTGAGAAACAAACGCATATTGGTCATTAGTAAACGAAAAACTAATAGAAATTTTTAATTAATTATAACCGATTTGTACACGAATGCTTTTTATGCACTTCGAATGTTTGCTATCGTTGGAGCGGTAGTCGTTTCGTGTCAATTTGGAGATTTGGAAATCACTGTAAGCGAATGCTATTGCTAGCAGCAATCTCTAACTAGATCGATAAGTATGTTCGAGCAAAGTAAATTTTCCTGCACCATCATTAATGCATGCATTTTGAATGCGTTTGCGTTTTATGTGTGCTATGCACTGATTCGTGGTCACTTTGGTCAATTTCTCGTGTACACAACGGGGAAATGTTTGCTTCATTTTCGCCTAAACTATAGCCATGCATATTCCAATTCCAATCTATGGCCAAATACGAACCGAACGCAATTCGGTGTTTTCAAATTTAAATTCAAATAGAAACCACTAAAGCAACCGACAGGCATTGCGTTCGACATTCGACATATCGTTCGGAGTTTCAATTGTGGAAAAAACATGATGAAACTACATTCAACTGCTCCATTGCTTTGTTATAAGCCACGAAAATTTTTGCCTTGGTTTGATGCGGTGCACACTAGAGTAAATTTAGAATTGTCAGCGAAGCGAAGACAAACACTTGCTTAAACTGAAACGAAAGCAACATGTAAATGTACTGCCAACATTGGATTTGATTCTTCCTTATTCCCACCATACGCGCAATTTGTATATTGTATTTTATCATTTCATTTTAATTTCCTATTTGGTGACAACCAATTCGACCATTGAGCAAATTCATCTGTTTCTGACTGTACCTTTTCAATGCGACCCAATGATATTTTGTCATTATCATCAACGTCTGTCGTGCTAGCATTCATACAATGGAAAAATTTCGTTGGATATAGTGTTCAATGAATTCTATCGGGTGTCAATTTGATTTGCATTAAACTCGTTGAGTTACTCAACTTATGATTAAAATTGAAATCAATCGAAAATATAGCAATGAAAATGCCAACAAAGTGATATAATAAACTGATACTATGGCTCCTGTTTTAGTTATTGACTGTTTTTCCAAAATTAACTTAAAATACATATTGTTCAAAATTTCCGGAGAAATTTTTCAAATTTAGAAATAATCCATTATGTCTGTTCAAATCGTAGTAAGCTTTCTGTAGTCGTTTATTGTAACTAATGACGTATGTTCGCATATCTAAAAAAACATCTTCAATGAAATGAGAAGGCAAATATTTACTGTTTTTTTGCCTATGTTTGAAGTAGGAAATCGTGCATTGTATGGCGATTAGGTGCGCACGTGTGTCATCTATTTGTTGCAACCAACATCACGAGCCGCTCAATATATTCTGTTCTCAAGAAGCCATAATAATGATGTGGCATATTTCCTCTTACTTGATTAATGATCTAATGTCTGAAATCCCCAAAGTCTTTATGAGTTTTTTGTTGCACTTCTTCATGTTGTCATTGTCGACATTGTTGTTGTCTATTTTGGCATGTTTTAACGCTTCTATTCTTATTTTTTTGCTTTTTCATGTGTAACATCATTTTTGGTTTATCTGACAGTATGTTTTTGTCTCTCATCATTTGTACACACACATGTGCCTCTCTTTTCCCAAAGTTCATAAAAACCAAACTACTTCTTCATGTCGTATGGATAAAATTATTTTCTGAATGTGTGCGCGATCAGTGCTTTTGAAACTGGTGGAACCGCAGAAGAGGAATATACGAGGATATTTAATTATATCAATGGACTTTTTTTGTCAATGCCCAGAAAAAGGGTAAATGACAAAAAAGCTGAAATACTAGAGAACTCAACTGAGGTTTAGTCCAAAGGCTCATTGTGTCCTCCATTGGATTCACATGAATCGTGAATGTATTGAAATTACGACGATAGTGATGTTTTCGTACATTTAATCATACCACATGTGGTACACTGGCTACACTGTATCCATGCTGCATAAATACTGCAAAAGGGCATTGTTCGCGTACGGCGGTGTTAGCATAGCAAATTTTGTAAGCGCAAAATATATCTGAGAGGGCGCATTTAGTGTTGGATTCAAACATTCGTCTGACATGATTGAAAACAATTGTTATTTTCATTCTTTCGTTCGAAAATCTGAATTTTTTTTATTTGAAAATTCCCCAAAAAAATTACATCGAATTCTTTAATTTCATGATTTTAATTCACTACTGGCATCCTCTAGAAATGTAGAAAAAGAATTATGTGTTGTATGATGTCACCATTTTTCGACTATATGTATTGTATAATTTTTTTCACACCGAATAGGTGGGCTGACGATGGTAGTGTGTTCAGATGAAATGCTCTGCAGATTACAACGAATCAAAAAACACCAATGGTTGGGGAAATCCCCGCTCTGGAATTTTTTTCCAAAGCTTCAATTTAAAAAAATCTCGGATGGTCGAGTGTTAAAATATACTAAAATTCACTACGAGTATGTGAATGAACTTTTTATTTGGCTGAGTATCATTTGAAGTCTTGATCCAATTTTTGGCCGAACATTCCCAGGCTAATTTCTAATGAGGAATTCGAAAATGCAATCGTTTTTGACCAAAAATAAGGTCCACTCTCTTGATTTGGGCAGTTGTGGTGAGATTGTGTTATTTTTTCATCCTTTTTCTTCAATATTAGCCTCCTTAATGCCAAATCTGTGCCATATAAAAGAAATAAGTTATATGCCAAAAGAAACTAGAGACCAGGCGACTCTCTCCGATATTTTCGTGCTGGTCCAAACGATTTAAGTATCAAATACAGCATTGCACATTCAAAATTGCCATATAGCCCGGCCATTCATAGGTTTTGGCTCGATATTCGGTGCACATTTATGTTTGTACGTATATGTGTTCGTAGCCAATATGAAACAAGGAAATGTCAATATTACTCTCACAATTCGATGTAGGCAAACGGTCAGAAGTAGTACGGCAAAATAATAAATTGCCGAAGTAATTTTTTCATTGGAGGTAAAATGTTGAATTACCACCAATGTTTTTATTCGGTAGGTAAATTTGAATTCAGTGGAAAAAAGCCGCTAACAGGGCATTTGAAGAGTGATAAAACACATCAAACACGTATAATTAGTGAGAAATAAATCTTTTTGATTGTTTTTTCAAATTTTTATCAAGTGTTTTGTTGCAACAGTGAACAGTGAATTGAATCTAAATTCCAAATGGCACAAAAATTGAATTCTTAACAACAATCATCTCGAATTATCTTTGCAACACGAAAAAAAGCTTATTGAATTTGTTGTTTAGCCTTCTTCGGCTATTACACGATTCGATTTGCAACGATTTCTAATTTTGTTTTCATTTTTTGACAATCGTTAGTCGTCACACTGAATGTTTAATGCACAATCGTGTTTTGCCAAGCGCATTCGCTACCAATTTAGCTGTCTGTGATTTATTCCAACTGGCGCTGTTGTACCCTTTGAATGTGGCAATTCCTTGCACACTAGGGTGTTTTCGGCATCGTTCAATCGAAAAATGGTAACTCTCATTCGATAGACCTAAGAATTCTGAGTCGATTCATAACATTTTTGTCGTGGATGGACTTGTGATGACGCTTCCCGAAACTAAAAACAAAAAATGTTTTATTCTGAATTTCTATAGTAACGTGTGACAACTAGATTCAATTTTATGTTTTCTTGTCAAATTTTTGCTTTCGAATTTCAAATCAAATCCGGTTGTCACAGGTTACTATGGAAATTCAGAATAAAACTGTTCTTCGGGAAGTGTCATCACAAGTCCATCCGCGACAAAAATATTATCAATCGACTCAGAATTCTGAGATCTATCGAATGAGGCATACCATTTTTTGATCAAACGATGCCGAAAACACCCTAGTGTACACCATATTCGAATTTTGATCGCAACACATGTTTGGATTATGAGGATTGATGTAAAAACTCCGTGTAAAAATTTTCAAGCGGCTAGCACAACGCTAAAGGTCGTCAGAAATTTGTTGCAGCTACATCTGTTCAAAATAGTGAAAAAATCAACGGAACTGCATTGATGAGTGTATTGAACACGTAATAGCAGTACTTAAACAGTGAATTTTGTCTTAATTATTCATTTCTTCATGCCCAGCGAAGCGGGCGGGGTCCAGCTAGTATTATATAATTGCGATGAATCGCGGCGAAATGCGGCGAAATGAAAAATGATTGCACGATGTGTGAATAAATAAAATCCGTAGTTCTATAATTTTTTTCAACGAATCAAATCTGATCAAACCCAAAATTCTCAAAAACAAAATTTGCAAAAAATATTATTATTATTATTATTATTATTCTGCACCATACAGCGTTTCTTCGCCAGAGGTGGTTTATTTAGCATAAATAAATCTTGTTATATTTACAATGTTTGCAATGGGATAATTAATTCTATTTGACTTTACTCTCTCCAAATTCTATTTCTCTTAAAATAATCAGCTACTCTCTGTTTTACAGTATTTGTACTTGTGTTAAAATCAATTAAGTGAGTATCACAATTCGGAATAGTAGTAATATTACATTCATCTGGTAAATTAGGCGGTTTGATAGGAACAAAGGATTTATAAAATTCATTGTATGTACTCAACATATAATTGATAGGTTCAAACTTGGAATAGCAATTTTGATGCGTCGGTAATGAAAGGAAATCTGAGTTTCTTGTCCAATGTCGCGGTGTTTTAAAACTTATTTTGCTCAAAATGTATTTCGATGAAGTATTTCCACATATCACATTGTGGACAAGTGATATTTGTGCTATCTTTCTCCGCTCTTCCAG